AAAAAAAAAAAACGTTCATTCAGTTTGGGGATAAATATGCAAAAACTACAACTTGAGAAGTAGAGTGATTATACAAAAAATTTGATAACACAACTATAGAATTTATTGGATAGTACAAATATATGTTCCCTCAAAAATAAAAGTTGAACATGTAATGGAGACCCAAAGGCTAGTCAGTATTTTTCACTGGGGTACAAAAGTGAAGCAAAACTGATGCATTTCACACCTAAAGCAGCCGCAGACAAGTGTGTCGGAGTGGGAACAAGTTCTCAAACTATAAAAGCTACACTTTCCGATGACATTATTACACCAACAAATCGAATGACTTTGTCCGAATGTGCTAAGACAAACAACTAGTACAATTAGAGAAAAATGTGCCCCGACAGACTCTCCACAAATAAACGAAGTTCGATTTTCCTAGAGTAAACGGATTCTCGAAACAGAATCAAGGCTTGAAAGCAGAAAATGCTACAACTGAGTTGTGTCCACCAAACCCAAATGAATTCGAAATGGCTGCGTATAGTAATGTACACAAATAAATTAGTGTTATAATCAAGGAACTCTGCATAGTTCAGCATTACACATAAGATATAGTTACAAAATCACTGCAATAATCTTCTAAGAAATTACAAATATAGTGCCTAAGATTTTTCCACAAATATCTTCCTAATGAGATGCAGTCTGTAATATAGAACAAAATATCAAAGGGGCTTTCGTATTGTTGAAATACATCTGGATTTGTATTTTTGGTGTAAGGGGATAACTTTACAGGGATTTTTAGTTTAACCTTTTAACATGATATCCTGTTCTGAACTGTAGGGAAGTGCAAATTCAAATTAGAAGGCAAAAGTATTCTTACCAACATTGACTTCATGCTCCTGCTTTTTGTTTGCAACGGTGTCGAACTCAACAGAAGGCTCTGGGTTCTGCATTTGCAGTTATAAATTCATATAAAATTTACAAAAAAATAATAATAAATAAAATAAATAAACTGTCCATAGTCCATCGCAACTATACACTAATCGTAAAAGATTCTAAGAGCAATAGCCACTATGATTCTGAGTGAGCTACTTGTTCAAACAAGGAAAAAAAAAAATTAGTACTGAAAGTATTTCATATTTGCATTGCCATTGACATACAAGCCACACAAATATTCAGCAATCTGGACTTACAAACTGATTTATTGTGGGATGAAGCCATCCTGTTGTTATGGCTTTCACTGTCGCAATAGCTTCCAATCCACCAGCAGCACCAAGGCAGTGTCCTATCATTGACTGGACAAACGTGAAAAAAGTGAGAAGCCCACAGAGAAAAACGAGATAACATCTTTAATGCTCAATGAAAGAGCATCCATGTGAGTGTGAGTGATTGAGTGAGGCTATTTTCATGTTTATCAATGTTCCAGAGAAAAAACTAGAAAAAAATCTATCTCAATTCAAAATCTATCTCAACTTTAACACAACCCCACTATCATCAATATTATCAATATTATTAAATAATATCATTCAATTGTCTTACACGTCACATCAACTTTAATTCACTATTTATCCACTCACATAATTTTAACTACCTATCATTTCCAATCATTTATCTCCTACTTTTAAATCAAATCAATTATAATCATTTTATATTAAATATTATTTTAATACAACTTAAAATCCCACTAACAACTAACCATACTAGTTTTTTTCAAATAAACTCTGGTTAACACAAAAATACCAGTAAAAAACCAGTTTTTTTCTAGTTTTTTTTATAAACAAGCACGGCCTGAGTGAGTGAAATGGTGAGTAGACTTGCACAAGCAACAAGGCATCTGTCCAAAACTAAAACCTGAAGCAAATCAATTGACTGCAGAATGAAGACACACTATCAACAAGCTACCAGCTAACATGACCAGACGTACACATACGAAGAGAAAACTTCATGACATGGGGCCTTACCTTAGTTGCGTTGATTTTTATCTCTGAGGTGTTCTTGAATACCTTCTTAATGGCATTTACCTCGGCTAGGTCTCCCACTATGGTGGAAGTTGCATGGGCATTAATGTAGTTGACCTGAAAGAATATATGGACCAAATGATATTGAATTTCATATCCAGCCCTAGTTGCACCCTTAAAGATGACAAAATTCACATATCATTTTTGTTTCCAGATTTGGGCATCAGCAGAAATTAAAAAAAATATATATTTTTAATTTTTAACTCTTTAAAAATGAGAACAAAATGGCAGGACTCAGTTTTTGAAGCATGCTGACGACATACTGATGATGATAAATTGAATCTCGTAATATGTGAAAAAAAAATACAGAAACATATTTGATTGGGTTTTAAATTTTAATACTTCTTGGTGCAGGCTTGACTAATTACATGGCATGCTAATCTAAGAAGGAAACTTATACCTCCTCTGGGGAAACACCAGCATCTTCAAGGGCACTCTGGATACATGAAGAGACACCGAGTCCATCTGCTCTGGGATCAGTCATGTGATAAGCATCGCAATTTACTGCACCTCCCAAATACTCTGCAATTATTGGTGCGCCTCTTTTCATTGCATGTTCCAGGCTTTCCATAACCTGTTTCAAAAGTTGATGATAATACAGGAGGAACTTAAAGTTTCACTTAATATTCAGAAACCACATGTTTGGATTAAAAGGCAACGTTCAAACGAAGAAGAATTATCCATTGATACATATGACCACAGAGGGTGAATTTAGATAGATAGCATCCCCACCACGACAAAGCAATAAAAAGTAAATATATAATAAAAGCGACTAGGCTTAGTGGTAGATTAGTATACAGATCTTTAGCTCTCTGGAAAATGATGACAATGCTTCACACTACTACTTGCAACACAAATATCAAACTCATATTGAAAGATTTATAAGTGAGCATGCCTACGCATCTCTTTAGATTGAAGAATACTCAAGTTAAGCAACACTTATATATTCCATTGGCATGTTGTTAAACAATTTTTCAATATTTTTGTAAATAACATCTCATTTAAACTGCTAGTCCAAATCACATTAACGTTGCTTTGCAATTAGTAATTTCTAATTAGCACTTACAGTTGATAATACTCAACCTTTGGTTCATATAATCAAACTTTTCATACCCATAAAGAAGATAAGGATGACATGAACTAACTCACCAAGACTCCAGCACCTTCGCCCATAACAAAACCATCTCGGTCTTTGTCCCAAGGTCTAGAAGCAGTTTTCGGGTCATCATTTCTCTGAGACAAAGCCCTGCAAGCAACAAAGCCTCCCAATCCAATAGGTATAATGGCCGCTTCAGTTCCGCCAGCAATCATCAAATCAGCTTCGCCCCTACGAATGTGGTTTGCAGCCGCGTAGAAGCAGTAATTTGAGGTGGCACAAGCAGTTGAAATCGAGTAATTTGGTCCCATTAGGCCGAGATCAATTGCGAGCAAGGCCGATCCCATGTTTGTTATAGCATAAGGGATAAAGAATGGAGTGATTTTTCTGTATCCCTTCTCTATCAGAGCCTGGACACCATCTGAAAATACAGTAAGTCCCCCCATTCCTGTTCCCACAAGGACACCAGCTCGAATCTTGTCAATCTGCAAATACAAACAAAATAAACAGAATAATTTAAATGAGTGTGCCTGCAAATCCAAAGCAACAGTAAAGAAATGAAGATGCAGAGGAGCATATGAGCCAGTAAAGGAGCGAAGAAAATGGAGATAATGACTCGAATTAACTGAACCAATTAAACCAACAAAAAGTTACTGCAATTAGATGTTTAGTACCAAATGATCAAGAAACATCATCCCAACTCCAAGTATAAGAGGAATATGAATGAGACTATTGGTTAACCAATACATATCCAAATACAGAAATAAAAGTTAATTCAGTTAACACAATTCGAGCAAAAATCAGCTACAAAGAAACCATACCAGCACCAATCTCGAAAAACTTAAATTGAGCTTAGAAATGACATTAATACCTGGTTAAGCTTATCGCCCCCAAGATCCGCACCTTCAAGAGCCTTCTTCCCCGCAACAATGCAGTATCTCAAACAATCATCCAATCTCCGGTCATTTTTACCGTCGATGTAGCCCTCTGACTTGAACTCCCTAATCTGCCCGCCGAACCGCGTGGGGAATTTCGAGGCGTCGAACCGGTCGATGTGGGTGATGCCGCTCTCGCCGGCGAGCAGCTTCTCGTAGTACGCGTCCACATCGTTCCCGAACACCGACACGAGGCCCATACCCGTGATAACCACGCGCTTCTTGGGGTCCGTCTCGCGCTTGGGGGCCGAGACGGCGGGGGCGGACGCGGAGATTGTGAAGGGGAGCCTCCTGGACGGCGGCCGGGCATTGCCGCCGGGGATGGCGGAGGAGTTGCGCCGAGATCGGAGGGGTTCTATGGGAGAGGGGCGGAGGGCGGCGGACTGGAGGGTTTGCATGGCGGCGGATGGGTGGCGGATGTCGCCTCGGAGTTTACGATGTGTCGATGGTGAGAAGTGTGTAGGAGAGAGTTTGTTTGGTCTAAAAACTATAGTGAGGGAAATTATATTGAATTTGCAGTGATTAAGATTTAAATGGGGAAATGAAATATGGAAATATTCAGAATTTAGAACCAATATATGTCAACATAAGATTATTTTTTTTTTTCTTTTGGAACGATAAAAATTATATAAAACCAAAAAACACGTAACTATAGCTAGAAACCAGTTAAAATAGCCAGCAAGTAGCCAAACAACTGAATTTATAAAGCGTAAACAAAGGTAGCTTAGAAGCAATTATATTAACAGACACACAACACAACAACCTATACAACTCCAAACCGGGGTATAAACATGCTCCCAATATGAGAAAAACACGCTCCCAACATGAAAAAAATAACAACACAACAATTACAACATAAACCAAGCCACAAACACAACACAATGCACAAACTAAACAAAGAGGAAAAAAAAGGCTCTCTGCAACCGCCAAGAAACAACCGAGAACTACTAAACGACGTGGATCCTAAAAAAAGTAGGACGGCCAGACCTAGATCTAGAAATTGCACCCAATGGCCTGACTAGACCAGGACCAAAACGAGCAGAACTCCTTTCACCGGAACCACTCGAACTACATCGAGAGCCTAACCATGAGCTGACCTCCCAATACCAAACCGAGCCATGGCAGCCGACCACCACCGATAGCGACAGGCCACCTCCCGTCAAACCCATTTACTTCAGCACCAGGAATCAGAGAGGATCCAGGGGGCCAGGCGGCCTCGGACTCACGCCTTCCCCCCGCCACAACAGTTGAAGAGGTCATTGACATCCGTGTACTACACGGCTGCATAAAAAAATAATGTAACAAAAAAAGTAAAAGAGTCTAGTTATTGTAAGTATATACAAAATAAATAAATGGAAGTTTCATAAAACAAAACTACTTTACATTTTTATTTTATTCAAAATTCTCAAAATTCCTGTGTACACAACATTATTAGTTATACTTTAAATTTATCAACTTGGATAAAAAAAGAATGATGAATAGGCTAAAATTTATCAATTTGGGAAAATAGGATAAGAGATGATAATTAAGATGAGTGCTAAAATTGATAAGAATTAAGATAAGATGTGTTCTATTAAACATTTTATTAATTATATTATCTAACATAACTATAATATATAATTTGTTGTTAAATGGAAATTAACAACTATATGATAATCAATGATTTATCGTATGTTTCAAATAGATCAACAAAGATCGAAAAGCTGAATGAAATGGTATTCTCTGAATATTATTAAATATTTTTCTCGTGTGTCCCGCTGGAGAATCTTCTCCTTCCTTTTATATTCATTTACAGCATTTATCTGAAATGTAATCATTACATGGGAATAGTCAACGGCGGCTAATTGCCATTCATCCTGGTAGCGCGCCACTTGGTCAGGCGTAATGATGAGTTGTGCTGAGTTGGCACCGCCTTATGGTGTCGGTTTGGCAAGTCATAGATATCGGCTTGTGTAGTTATAACCGATATGTCATATCCGACATGTAGTAACCGACATGTCATAATCGACATGAGATATCGGTTATGACGGAGATGTCGGTTCTTGACGAATTTTTACCCGATATGTGATTGTCTTGAGGCCCGTGGAGACATCATCTACTTGTACGAATTTAATCATCCTCGAACTAAACATAATCATTTGATCAGAGTCGCTTAACTGAGTTTACTGAAAATGATGTCAACATAATTTTAGTTCATCCTTATTCATTACGCGAACAAAGACGAAGATTAAAAAATGTGCTAAAATTTATTGACTAAAAAAAATGATGAATGGAATAACTCTTTAATAAAATGAAATAAGGAAATAAATATTTGTGATCTTTAAATTCAATAAAAATTTGGTAATGAAAGGAGAAATTGACGGGAGACAATAATGTGTGGTGAAAAAATTATTTATGACATTTTTCAAACCTTATTTTTGTCTCTAAACTTTTATCCGAGCCTAATACAAAGCATGATATTGTAATATATAGGATTTCAAAACGTGTGAGTATGTCACTTAAGCTCAACACGTTCTGAATTAATATATATGAGGATATTCAGTTCGAAAGTATTTTTGTCTAATCGTTGGTCAATAGCTTTACTGAAAATACAATTTTGCTATGAAGTCATCCACACTTATTTACAGATACTGTATTGACATGTGTCCTACAATAAATTTATTTTAACCTATTTATTATAGAAAATTTGCTCCAATATTCAAATTAGAGTCTCGCTCTCTCGCCCTATGTAGTTATGGATATTGATACATTGGCCAAGTGATGCTAAAGAGATTAATATACACAATGAGTAATAAAATGATAAAAAATATAAAGATATCTTAACAAGTTTGGCACACCTTAATGTGCTAACTTTTAATTAATTATATATATTTAGCATAACACAAAGTAGTTAGAAGACAGTTGCATTTATTTCAAGTTTGCAAAGTTTGGCAGTCAGTTGAATGAAATTATTAGGGATGAAAACGGTCGGGAACGGTCGGAAAAACTCCAAAACCATTCCCTTTCCTGTATTTTTTTACCGGGAACGGGATCGGAAACGGTTGAGCCGGACGAAAAAACGAAATCGATATTACGGGATATCGGGAACGAAAGAGTTCGATCGGGAACTAGCCGATTACGGTCGGGAATCGGAAACACTATACGGTATAATACATGTAACAACTTCAAACATTAAGCACGAAAAGATAATTCCAGCTATGCATAAACGAACACCAAATTCTTTTTTTTTTTTTTTTGGTACAGGGAAACTCAATAGTAGTTCTTTGACTAAGTTATAACAAAGCATTTCAAAACAAATAAGTTTCTCTAATTGCCAGCAAATGCCAATAATCTGGCAGTACATGAATCAAGAGTGAGAAAAATGAACTTTTGCTCAAATACACCCTACATTATAATATGTTTATCAAAACAAAGTTAATGGACATACAGAGAAAGTATAGCAATGTATCATCCCTATTAATGTTAGTGGGTCGCTGGGCTAGATACGAGATTTGGCCACTATAATAAACGGGAATACCGCGGGAATTTTCCCGCCCAAATACGGGATCCGCGAATATGGTCGGGAAATACCCCTTTCCGTTCCCGTTCCCGTTCCTGTTCCCATTTCCCTATTCCCGTTCCCGTTCCCTATTTTTTCCTACCAAAACGGAATACGATCGGTATATTCGGGATACGGTATCGGTCGGTACGGGATTTTCCCGTTCCCGCTTTCATCCCTAGAAATTATTTAGGGAAGATGGAACAAATTTGGCAGCAAAAAAAAAAAAATAGTGGCTTTAATGCAAATACAAGTTGCTATTGGTGAGCCGAACTTTGGGGTTGCAGTTGGCCTGGAATATTGGTGCGCGCAAAATCGCGGTGGAAGTTGATAATCAGAGTGTTGTTACGATGGTCCACCACGATGACACTAACGGATTGCATGGGAGTCTCTTGAAATGCATTAAGGATCTTCTACGTCGACCATGGAATGTGACGCTTATTCATGGCTACTGTGAAGCTGACTTTGTAGCGGATTTTCTGGCTTCGTTGGCGGCTCAAAGACCGGGTGATCTGCATATTTTGGACCGTCCGCCTCCGGGGGCGGGTCTATGATTACAACATAATATTGTCGGCGTGTCTCATCCACGTAGGGTGTTGACATAGTCGGGTTCTAGGCTTTGCCTCCTTTCTTGTACCAAAAAAAAAAAAAATACAAGTTTCTATAATTAAGTACAAAATAATTTGTGGTGCTATTGAGAAGTAAGATGTTCATAATGCTGTGGCTATTGTATAGTTTCTTGCAGGTGTAGTTCTAATTTACTTAAGATCAATTGTATCACGTCTTGATAATTCAATTTATGTTTACAAATTGGCATCTCTTTTGATAATGCATGTAACATCAAACTCAACCAATTGATAAAGAAACTTTACATAAAAATATTTACACATAACTTATGAAATTACATATTTTCGTTTAGAATTTCAAGTGACATTTTGAGTATTTTAAGATTTTAGTTCTTTTAATGTTTTCAAATTTTGGAATAATTTGATGAAATATTAAGTATGAGGATAAGATTTGTAGTGAGATTTTGTATAAACTTTTTTTTTATATATAGAAATTTCAGCAAATTTTAAAAAGTCTTAACAAATCATAATATCAAATAAGTTTATTAGCACCTCAATTTGTATGACTTTTTAAATATGAGAATACCCAAAGACTTTTAAAAGTTTTAAAATGTCTATAAAAGAAATACATCAAAATTTTAAAAGTCTTTAAATGTTCTTAAAATTCCCAAATGAATACATGTACACAACAAACTCTTAGTTATAGATATATAATTATTAGTTAGGATGTGGTCATGTTTTTTACAAAACATAAAAAAAAAAAGGCGCAAATAAGTTCTACAATCATCTATTTGTTTGAGATTTATAAAAAAAATTTAAAGTTGTACATTTAATTTATTACTTTTTTTTTTCTTGTACTTTTAGTTTATACTTTTTAATACTCTTAAAAGTAAAAGTATTTAACTTATCTAATGATTTTGTAAGACTTTTAAAATTTGATGAAAAAAAAACCCACAAAATCTCACTCTAACTATCATCTCCAAACTTAGGATTTTATAAGTTCTTCCAAATCTAAAAATATTTAAAAATCTCAAATCTAAAAGTCTCTCAAAATATCACTCAAACTACACCCCTTAAGTTTTTACATTTTTTTTTTTTTTCCGAAACGATAGAGATACTATTATAAATCAAAAGCGCACAAATGTGCGAATAAAAATACAAAGCTCCCAACGGGAGAATAAAATGGGAGGACAGGTCAAAAGCCCGCCTAGAATCCCGCTAGCAACACTAGAATAAAAACTTGAACTAACCAGACCAACTACTCGACCACGACCCCAAAGGGGTAATAAAAACACTACAAACAAAGCAAAGACCCCAACAGGGTAATACCGAGTGTCAGACCCAACAGAGTAATAAAGGTGACACTCGGGCGCACAGAGGCCAAATGGCCCAAACTTAAAACACTGACAACACAAACTAGAAATCTAACACAACACACAAAATCAAAACTACAAACTAATAGACAAACAACTTCCCTCAGCAGAAACATCCGAAGAGACAGTAGACAAAGTTAATTCCAAGGAGAGCTCCAAAACTCTGATACAGCGCCCGCCACTGCCTAAGGCCTAGCAAGACGAAGACCGAAGCCTCTGAACAAACCAAAAGAACTGACCCGCACACCAACCGCAAGCAACCACAATCGCCCCCCAACCGGCTAACACCACTAGCCAATCCGAAACCATCTCGAAATTGTCTAACACCACTAGCCAACTCCGTAGACAGACGACCTCCAACTAACTCAGAAACCGAGAAAGGGAGGAAGAGGACGAATGGCGTCAGAGCTCCGCCGCACTGACCCTGCCCGAAGGGACTAACCCAGCCCGAAACGCCAATCCACCCGGCCTGCAAAGACGAACCCCGACCCAACACCCCAGCACAGCCGAGGTACCGGAGACCAGACTTCGGCCAAAACCGAAACCCGCAACCGGGGTGACCATCCAGTCCGGCAAGAAAAGACGCTCCGACCAAATCACGCACCCAAGCATCCCACCCAGCTCCCAAGGGCGAACCCAACCCGCCTGCTTCAACACCAGAACGCCGGCGAAAGCCGGAGCTACACCTGCAGAACCACAGAAGCCGGAGCCGAGGTCATCGGTAGAAGCTAAAAACGGGCAATACCTGAACAAGGACGACACAAGAGGAGCCGCATCCCGCCGCTGTTGTCGCGCTCCACCTCGCCTCTCCAACCGGGAGCTCCGGCCGCCTTCGAGCACAGAACGACGAACGAAGACCACAATCTTCACCCCGCGACCAGAAAAACGAAGAGGGAGAGCCGCGATTAGCGGCGAGGACACTCGGTGGTGAGCAGTCCACCGACAGGACAGATGAACGCCAAGGGAGGCACTAATTCCGGCGAGAGAGACTAGGGTTTACATTCTAACACATTTTATCTAGTAATTTTTTTTTTTTTAAATCAACTTTGACCAGCGGATTGCATTAGCGGTTTTTAAATAAGTGTTTGGTAAATAACTGAAAGCTTGTAGCTGTTTTATATTGCAAAATGAACAATAAGGACATTTTATTATTTATGGTGTATTCTTTTAATATAATATATTAAAACATTTAATATTCTTTAGTTGGTAATTTATAAATATATTATTATTTTTTTAATTTTACTAGCTCTTGATGAAGAAGTTATGAATTTTATATTTTTCTAGATAAATTAATCATATGGATGACGTTTTATTATTTAATAGCACCATAAACTAAAGTAGATTGTAAAAAAATAACACAAATTAAAAAGTTCAAGTAAATTATTTTCGTCTATCCCCAAAACACTGCTCTAATGAACTTTTTTTTTAAATTAGAGTTTTGGCCCAAAAAACTTATCAAATAAGCTATTTACCAAACACACTCAGATGACAGGTCAACGATCTCAATTAAGTCTAATCCGCTAATTTATCTTCAATTCCCTATTTACGCCCTAGCCAACTTGATTTTTTCCCCAATTCAACATCAAAACATTTTCAGGCTTTAAAACTTCACCACAGGGACACAGATATGCCGGAAGAACAACCGACGGGCGTGAAGAAGAGGACGGCGGACTCGCTGGGATGGCTAACGGAATCCTCCATCATGCCGCGCAAGCAACGCGCCATAGAAGGAGTCGGAGCTTCCTCTATCCTGGAGCTCAAAGCTCAGCTCTACTGGTCCCAAGAGGAGTCCAAGCGCAACCCCAAGGAGCACGTAAACGCCGCCGATCACAGCTACGCTCATCATCTGGAGGTGCACCGCGCCAAGAAGAATATCGCCGCACAAGATTCCTTCACCGCCAAGAACTCCGGCGTCGATTCCCGTGCTGCCAAGTACTTCAATTCATTATAATTTTGTGTCCATTGCAGTTACTGTTGATTTTGGATTAACCGTTAGTTTTGGGGTACTAATGTTGATGGCGTGTGAAGAAAAAATCGTGCCATTACTTGGGTACATGGATGTGTACGAATCGGATTCTAGGGTTTCGGCAATTAGGGATTTTTAATGTACAAGAATTGAGTTGAATTTCGTCTGCCTTTTGTGAATGTTGAGTTAATTCTGATTGAGGAGCTCTCAGTTGATGGTGTAAGCAGTGTGGATGCAATATAAAAGTCCCCGACTTTTGATTGCTGTGTTTGGCAAATAAAATCTCTCTTTTCTATTTGCTTGTGAAATTTTCAGCTTTTGTGATTTTTAAAGTGTTGCTGAAATAGCACGAAAACTCGAAAAGGGTTTATTATGTACAGTTGCTTCTTGAACAATTTAAGATCTTGGGTACGAGACTGAAGTGTATTTTAAATCGTAGAAGATATTTAGAGTTTCTCTTGTCCGCTCTCTCTTGTAACATTGTGAAGTTCTCGTACATCTAATAGAGGAAAAAGTTTTTATGTACATCTTACTGAGAAAAGATGAATGCCATGCCCTGGATTGTGTTATGTTAAGATCATATAGAAAGCCAATACAGTTACTCTTTGTTTAATGTCTCACTGGAATCGAGTCTGAGAGTTGAAACCTATGTCGACTGTTTCAGGGACAAGCTTGAGCTAAAAGCTGTCCAGGATGGATCAGCAAGCTATGCAGCATTGGAGAGGAAAGCAGAATTATATAATAAACTGGTGAGAGGAGAATTGTCCGATGAAGAAGATCAGGAGAAGTACTGTGTTGACTTTTTCCGTAAGGGTCTAGAGCAGGATGTGTCCCATATGCCTCAACAATCTGATACCTCTGCACCACAATCAGAAGACACAGATTGTGGTGATATGTTCATAAATAGTACAAAAGCTGCAGGGCTTGGACGAGCTTCAGCTACAGTCGACAGAAGTCAACATAAGCATTTTGTAATGTAAAATATCTGTCCCCTCTAGCTTGCGTTCTATGCGTTATTTGTTGCATTGGTTTTCGTTATTCTTTTCGCTTTGTGTTCTCCGAAAAGATTTTATTGGTTGTTTTTCAACTTTTGAACAGAGTAGTACTATGGTTTGTTAGTCGGGTACTTTTTGTTTGTTCTGTAAGTTGATTCTTTAGAAGATCTTTCGATGACATGTTCATGTTTTGCCATGATTTTACATCATTTTTGAATTATTTTTTGCCACTGGTCACTGTGGGATTTCATTGTGCATGTATTGATAAAGGTAGAGTTCTAGAGTATCACTAAGGAACATAATGTATGAGTGTTTTATCAGTTCATGTGAGTATTTGACTATTCTTCCATTTTTTCAGGGAGGTTCATGAAGAAGCAAATCAGGCAAGAGAAAAAGTCTCCGAGCTCAAAATGCGCAGACAAGAGCAAGCTGCTGCTCGAAGAGAAAAACTGAAACAGGCCTACCTACGAAAGCAACTTGAGAAGTTGAAGGCATCTAAAGCTGAGCAGGCCTGAATTGCAGGTGATTATTTTGCAATCTGATCCCCACATTAGTTAGGAATTTCACTTGCATCAGTTGTATGAGGTTCAGCATCTCAAAGTCTCAGAAGGGACTCACACCTTGATGATTGCTTCAATTTCTTCAAAACTAATTCAGCATTAATTTTTTTCATTTTCTGTTCCATGTGTATGCTTTGCATTTTCTAGCCCATCGAAGTTTGCTAATGTAGCTCTGTGAGTTATAAGGTTGCCTTAAAATTCCAACGAACCCCTCATTTTGTGTCCCAGTTGATTGTTGATACTGTGGTTAGAACACTTATTGAGATGACCATTTATATATCAATTAAAAACTGGGCAGTGCCTTTTACATTTCTATTAGAACAGTTCGAATTCTTGCATGCTGGATTCATAACCATTGGTTTTTCTTTTTCAGGTGTTCGGTGGGTGTAAAGTTGTGTGATTTTAGGGCAAGGAGCTCTGGCAAACTAATTGTGTAAGCACTGGGGAAAATTTAAGCCTTATTTTTGTTAGGGTAAAAAGAACAAGTCTTATAAATGCGCCGATGGTAGTCGAAGAAAAAACTAAAACTGTATTTTTTTTTTAACCAACTCTGTTGATTGAGCATATTGGAAAAATGTAAAATAGTTAAAAATAAATATTAAGGAACAGTAAAGAGCAAAATATTTTTATAAAGAAAACAACGTGAGAAAAGTGCGACTCAACTGGGGATCAAACCCAGAAACTTGGGTTTCCATAGACCAGAGCCTTATCTACTGGGCCATGAAGTTTGGTATTGACTGAATTAAGATATAACTTTGATCTGTAAAATATACTTCTAATTTTCAAGCAGCCTAATATACTTTTATTTGAAGAAAAATAATACTACAAAATTTAGATTTTTTTTAATAACATTGATATCTGGTTTCTGGACTTTGATCTCTCTCAGCCCGAGTCTACCCCACCGAAAATTGACGTCACTCATCGCTCGGTTGTGTTAATGTTGTGGAGGTAATGAAGAGAGCTAAGTTGGGGACTTTGGGGGGTAGGTTTTATGCTTATGGCTTGTGCCCTTTGGTGCATCATTTATTGGTAGAGATATTGTATGCATTAAGATAATAACTAGTATTCGATTTTGTTCACATGTACAAATGCAAAACAAAATATATTATATGTGGTGTAAAATTTCGAACTATACCGATGCTCACCTCTAGCCTTTGGTGCATCATGTATTGGTAGAGATTTTGTATGCATTAAGATAATAATTAGTATTCGAGCTTGTGAACATGTACAAATGCAAAACTAAAAATATTATATGTATTGAATATTTAAAGTAAGTTAGATAATGATATCATAATTTATAAATTTTATCATTAATAAAACGAACGATGTAAATATGGGATCATGCTACATGTACCTCTTGGTGTACCACTTGGTTTACATTCAAGGGGTATATGTACCCATTTATGTACCCCTTGGATGTAAACCAAGTGGTACACCAAGTAGCATTATTCATAAATATGAACTACTTATGTAATTTTAATGTTGGTTGATTAGGACCAATTAATTAAAATAACAATATTGAAATTATTATTAAGGTTTGGTTATGCCTTGATTAATTAATTTTAATAAAATACTTCAGGAATTGAAAAAAAAGTAATAATATTTTAAATAAAAAGTTTGAAAAAATAGTTTTACAATAGACTATCATTATGTGGCTATGAATCTACATACATATAATTGTTAGCAAAACAATTAATAAAAACATTTTGATTTTCCTCCAATTTCAGTTACAAAAGCTATTATTAATATATTTTTAACCTTTCGCATTCATACATCATGTTCAGTGCAATCATATATTTTTTGCTATTATAATATATAATAGTTAATGCTAACATCAACTAAAAATAATTCACACCAAATACAAATTACGTAAGTACAAACAATTATATTGCAATTTTTTTCTTCATTATTTTATTCTTTTTGTATCTCTTGAAACAATTTTTTCTAAAAAAATTAGCTAAATAGTTTTAATAGCATAGTAAAACCACTTTAAAAATCTTATAAATAATTTTTGCTATAATAATAATAATAATATTAATAATAACAATAATAATAATAATAATAATAATAATAATAATAATAATAAATTTTCAACTAAATTATTTGACCATGATCACTTCAAATTATAAAAATTGCATTATCTACAAACTTTTTTTCAATAAATATAGCAATTCATATATATACTTAAATAATAATTTATATTTGTATTTTAATTTTACTAGTGATCGGATATTGAAAATGTAATATGTTTGTTATCTATAATTTTTTTTGGTACAGGGACCTTCCGGTTTCTGGATTCACAGGGAACCGACTAATCTGGAATTGAGCTGGGTAGGACCACAAGGACGGCAAAGCTCTCCCTCAAGAGTTTTAACACTGCTGCATTTCCAGGGCTCGAACCCGAGACCCCTGGTTAAGCTGGAAGAGACCCAAGCCATATCATCCAAGTGCTCTTGGGTAATAATTTTAATACTAAATTTGCACAAATTACTTATACTATTTTAAATACATTTGTGCATGTGCACATGATATTACTAATGTTAGTTATAGCTATTACATAACACAATAAATAAATAGTATAATTACTTAATTGATACAAATTGTGACGAAATAATTGAGGGAAACAAAAAAGAGTTTTATTAAAATTGAGGGAAACAAAAAATTGACGAAAAATTGAGGGAAACAAAAATTGAGGCAAACAAAATTTTCTTTGTTTTGCATTTATTCTTTTAAGGGAGCAAGATAGTTACGACGCTCTCTGGATTGGAGACAATTCTTTCGCAACAACGAACACAAAATGAAAATTTTACCCTCTAAATTTCACGTCAACAATGTCTACCCAAATTTAGAAAAAAAAAAAAAAA